GCAAAAAACTGTCAATCAACTATTGCTACTAGTGCTACTGCTGGTAGCAAAAACTGCAGACCGCACTCTAACCCTTGTTAAATAACCATTAGGTCCGGGGTCTGTTTGATGAAACTTTAAATGTAATGTAGAATGTGATGCATATATCAGAGTCTTACTTTCCAGCATTGGTGAGTTTGTTAAGCGCGTCTCTGGATATGACATGCCCACAGATGAGCTTCATAGGTGGATTGCTCTCTGATGTCTGCTGCCTCAGGATAGGACAGGCAAACACAGAGTGATACCAGCACTTCTTCCCCAAATCTATTTCAATCTAAACACACACACAGCAGGGATGAACAGATAAAGCATTAATGTGTTTGAAATGACCACAGTTATTTATTAATAATAATAATTATCAGATGTATCAGCCAATTCTTGGCCAATAAAAGTAGCATCTTGCACCTATCAGACAAAGCAATTAGTCAAGCAAGCTGTAATCAAAATCTTGACTGAATTGTGTTTCACAGTTTTTCCATTTATAATAACTGAACAGTCTGAATAGGGAGATGAACAGAAAGTGTAATTTATCATTCCTAATTTTGGTAGTCCATTGGTTTAAATTTGTCTGTCATTGACAAATGAAAAGCACTTTATTTTTCATATCTTAGCTGGTCTTAAATTTGGAAAGTTCAGCTATAAAAGCACCTTGTGTTAGCTAAATAAATGTTGAAAACGTTATGGAAATACTTCAGTTTATTTTGCTGTGTAATTCATTATTTGTGTTCTATAATTAATTTTCAGTTAGTTTCAGAACCACCTATTAGTATCAGTAAATGTTGTTCTAGTAAGTAATGTAAATGTAAAAACAATTCATGTAAGTAACGGATTTCAGCAAAAACTTTTAGAAACATTTGAAACCTTCAGAAAAAGGAATATCACTGTATAAAAAAACCTTAAAGGGAAAGAGAGAGACCTACTGGCAGCTCATCCTTATGTGTCCAAACACCACTGCACTGTCTCTGTTCAATAACCTGTTTGATGTTCATGAGCACAGGCAGTGCCATACAGCCGGATGCAAAACTGATGGAGAGTCAAAGAATCAAAACAGGATTTAGTAATGAAACGTCAATCATTCAGTCTACAAAAAGGTTTAACTGTCAATACAAATTTCAAAACATGTAAGCCTAAAACAAAATAGGTCTGTCAATCGATGAATTTAAATATAATTAATTATATGATATATCCCAAATAACTACAGTTAAACAAACACGTCAGTATATGATAAGGAAAGCCACCCATGAAGATAATCTATAATCCATTCAAAGGTTTGGAGTAAGTGCATTTTTTAAAGCAATTAATAATTTTATTCAACAAAGATGCATTAAATTGATCAAAAGTGAAAGAAAGGACTGTCATAACGTCACAAAAGATTTCTATTTCAAATAAATGCTGTTCTTTTTAACT